GCTGACACTAGAAGACCAGTTGACGGCCGTGGCCAGGGGGGCGTTTTACCGGGTACGCCTGATTCACCAGTTGCGGCCTTTTCTGGACCGGGACGCCTTGCGCACAGTCACCCATGCTCTTGTCACCTCCCGCCTGGACTACTGCAATGCTCTCTACATGGGGCTCCCCTTGAGGAGCACTCGGAGGCTCCAGTTAGTCTAGAATGCAGCCGCACAGGCAGTGTTGGGAGTGACTCGTCGCTCCCATGTAACGCCGCTGCTGCGCGAGCTGCACTGGCTGCTGGTGGCTTTCCGGGTGCGCTTCAAGGTGCTGATTATCATCTTCAAAGCGTTCCATGGCATCGGACCTGGTTATCTCCGAGACCGCCTTCTGCCTCAGATTACCCCCCACCGGCCGATATGCTCCCACAGAGAGGGTCTCCTCAGGGTGCCGTCAGCCAGACAGTGCCGGCTGGCGACCCCCAGGAGGAGGGCCTTCTCGGTTGGAGCTCCCACCCTATGGAACGAACTACCCCCAGAGATCCGGGTGATTCCGGATCTCCCCTCCTTCCGCTTCGCCCTCAAGACATGGCTATTTAAACTGGCAGGACTGGCCTAAGGGTTATTTTTAACTTGGTTTTATAATAATTTTTTTTTAAAAAAATTAAATTATAAAGGCCTTATAATAATATTTTATTTTAATTAACTTTTTAATGTTAGTATTTTTGTAGTTATGTACTTGTTTTTAAAAAGGCTGTAAGCCGCCCTGAGTCCGCAGGGAGAAGGGCGGGGTAGAAAGTTAAATAATAAATAAATAAATAAATAAATCTCCTCTTCTTAAAGACAAACATTTACATTATATTTATAAATACACCAAATTTTATATAATTCTACCTCTTCATCCCCTCCCCCCCTCCACCCCCCGGACTTCCCAGAACTGAGTATAGGGATAAATACATAACATCCCAAGTTTAAAATAAGCTATCCATTCATAATACAAACAACAAAGAAATTTCTTATGAAACATTTCCACCGTAATTACCAGAGCACATTATAATACTCTAAGTAGGAAGAGATCAGGGTGTGAGAAGGGCATGTTGGTCCAGGAATGCATGTAACTGGCATACAATCAATCAATCACAGACCAGAAAACTGGCATACAATATCAATATCATACAATATCAAGTTACGCAACTGCTATTTGTTCCTTAAGCCCAGGAGAACCCCATTATTATGCCATGGGTAAATCTGGAGCAGTGCAACTCCATCCATGATCAAAGATGGTAATTTTCCAAGAACCAAGGACCAGAGACTCTCTGTTTTGCCAAAGTTCAGTTTTAGCCTATTTCTCCCCATCCAGACCTCAACAGCCTTCAGACACCAAGGGAGGGTGGTCACAAGATCATTTAGCTCACCATGGACTGAGATGTATAGCTGAGTATCATCAGCATATTGATGATATCTTACTCCATGTTGATGGATGATCTCTCCAGTGGTTTCATGTAGACATTAAATGGATGGAAGAAATAGTTCAAATTGGTGGAAACTCTGCCTTATTAGATTAAAACAGATTAATATCTATCAGGCAAAATTTCAAAACAAAACAACAACAGCAACTAGGCCAATGTATTCAAGGATCTATGATTTATCTATTTATTTTTAGAGTACTAATATCAGAGTACTCTGTACCATTTATTCATTAAAAATGTGTAAGTACATAAGAAATTCCATGAAGTTTGAATCATATCATTGTAAGATGATGATGCCATTTATCACTTTTAAACTATCTCTAAAGCCCTTTCTAGCTTATGACCACATTGTCTAAAAAAGGAGGGGACTCTTTTTTCCTATATGCTTCTATCTGAATGTTACAATATTTAAATCTTTCCCATTATATTTCTCCAAGCATTCCTTACATCTTTGTTACGCAAAGTATATATAACAGGATTTAGTAATGGAGTCAAGATGCTGTACATTAGTGGGGTCAGCTTGGTATTAACAGAAGACTGGGAAGGGACAGGTCTCAAGTAGGTGAAAATGCAACTGCCATAATAAAGTAGAACCACTGTAAGATGAGAGGAGCAAGTGGAAAAAGCTTTTTGTCTTCCTTCTGCAGACTGCATCTTCAGTACTGTGAAAATGATGGATGCATATGAGAGAAGGATGCAAACAAGAGGTGTCCATGCTATGAGTAATCCAATAGATAGCAAGAGCTTTTGGTTGAGGGAGACATCTCCACATGACAACTTTAGCAATGGAGGAATATCACAGTAGAATGCATCTAGGCGATTGTCTCCACAAAAAGGTAACTGAAGGGCAAAATAAGTATGAATTGCAGAGTTAAGAAAACCTCCAACCCAGCAAGCTATAGCTAGTTGGAGGCAAACCCATCTTCTCATAAATAATGAGTAGTGCAAAGGATTGCAAATAGCAACATAGCGATCCAAAGCCATTACTGCCAGAAGAAGGCATTCTGTCCCTACAAAGGAGAAGAAAAAGTACAGTTGGAGAACACAGGCTGTGTAAGAAATACTGCTCCTGTCTTTGAGAATAAGATCCAGCATCTGTGGAATTGTGGTGCTAGTGTAGCAGATGTCAAGGAAAGACAGGTTCCCCAAGAAAAAATACATGGGGATTCTGAGCTTCTGATCAAAAATTGCTATAGTGATAATGGAGGTATTCCACAGCACTGTGAATAAATAGAGAGTCAGGAATACACTGAAGAGCAAGTACTGTAGTTCCTGCAGGTTTTGAAAGCCAAGGATGATGAACTCTGAAAGCGTAGTTTGGTTTTGTATTTTCATGTCTCCTCCCAAATAAGGTACTTCTTCTAGTTGTTGTTGTGGGATAGCTTAAAGGGGAAAAAAACAAAGTAAATTCTATGCAAATTGTGAACATTTGAACATAAGGTAAAAAAATCCATCCTGAATCAGATTCGGCTATTAATGTCCAAATATATTTATGTGGATTTCAAACAAAACAAAACAAAACAATATTTTAAAAAATTATATAACTTCTCAGTGACTAGTATACTAATTTGCATGGTTTGGAATTTTGTTGTTATGGAATTCATGTCTACTATTGTTTAAAGAGAGTGACATATTACCTATGTTTAACATGCTGAATCCTGAATCTATGCATTTAATTTCAAGATGAGCTTGAACTTTTTAACCTCTCCATCATAGCCATGAAGTTTCCTTGAAAGTTATATGGAGTGTTTTCCTTCCTTCTTTCCTTCTTTCTTTCTTTCTTTCCTTCCTTCCTTCCTTCCTTCCTTCCTTCCTTCCTTCCTTCCTTCCTTCCTTCCTTCCTTCCTTCCTGTCATTGTGCAAATGATATTTGTCATACAAATGAATCAAAACATCAGAGATGAAAAAATAGGGTTTTTTTTAGAGGGGGCTCTTTGCATTTCCTTATATATTTGGATTTTTTAAAAATATTCTCTTAGATTAATGCTAATCTAATGTTAATGCTAACATTATCAGAAACAACATATTATTAGATATTAATCTTTTAACCACTTAATTATAATACAAGTGTGTTTTATAAACAATTAAATATTCATGATATAAAAATGCATTGTTATTCAAAATACTTGGGACTGCAAACATAGCGTAATGGGGAATATTCCCAGATTTGTAGTTATAGAATGTAGATCCTATGGAGTCTACATGTAATCACTAAAGAATGACTTAATACCTATTAATAAGACAATCAATAACCCAATCTCAATCACATTTTATGTACAATAAACTCATATTATATTATGTTACAAATTCATATAAGTTTTAAATAATTCCTGGTTTATTTACATTAAACCAAAGAGAGTTTTGTTATGTGATCTAAACTATTTCTTCAATATGAGCTTCCTAAAATGATTTCTTTGTTACCTTAAAAAAAACCATTGTTGTTTCATTCTTTTCCTCCTAACTGCTGCATGCTCTTCTGCATTTATTTTTTCAAACCTGACAGAATGTACTTCTGAATTTCTACTCTAAGAGTTCCTAAACAGGAAGTATGGAATTACTCCCAGATGTATTGTAAAGTTTTTAGCTAATCAACAGCACCATAATAAATTGCATAGAAAGTAAATTAAGACATGAATAATCTCACCTAGTAACTACATTTTTAGAAATATGCATTATTTGATGACATCTATCTATCTATCTATCTATCTATCTATCTATCTATCTATCTATCTATCTATCTATCTATCTATCTATCTATCTATCTATCTAGCAAAATTATATAACTTAAAAAAAACCACATTAAAATAATTAAATTAAGCTTTGCAGGAATTTACCATTTTAATTCAGGAAGTCCATCATTAGGGAATTAATTCAAAGAGAAATTTCCAATATTATGTTACTTATTAATATGTTTTGCTGTACTGTTTCCTGATGATGACAAGAAAAAAAATTCCCACCATTTTCTTGACAATAGTTTTAGAACAGCGGTTCTCAACCTATGGGTCGCGACCCCATTTGGGGTCGATCGGCCATTTCATGGGGGTCGCCAAGCAAGGCTGTCTGCCATTTTTTTCCCTTTTCCAGTGGGTGCCTTACCTCCCTTGAGCTGGGCCAGCTGGTGGTCGGCCTGCTCTGTCTCTGCCGCTTGCCAGCTACGCCTCAGCCGGCGCAGGGGGCGGAACCACGCATTTGCGGCGCTCCCGGGCAGGGAAAGTCCTCGACTTACGACCAGTTGGGTAGTCCTCAACTTATGACTGAGTTAGTCCTCGACTTACAACCGGTTTAGTCCTCGACTTACAACCGGTTTAGTCCTCGACTTACGACCGGTTGGGGGTCGCGGCATTAAAAAGGTTGAGAACCACTGTTTTAGAAGCTTCTTGACAATACCTTCCTTCAAGGGTTTAAAGAGAGTGACTGATTCAAAATCACCCAACTTGGCTTTCAAACCTAAGACAGAACTAGAATTCAAAGTCTCCTGTTTTATATTATAGGACCTTTAACTGCTAGACCAGTGATGGTGAACCTTTTAGAGATTGAGTGCCCAAACTGCAACCCAAAACTGACTTATGCATCGTTGGGTGCTGGATAGGTGTGGCCTATTGGATGGGTGTGGCCCATTGGGTGGGCATGGCTGTGGTGGTAATGGCAGACTGGGTGGGACTAAAAAGTTCAATCAATCAATTCCAACTTTGCAAGATCTTTTTTTTTTCCCCACGAGAAGTTGAAATTGACTGATTGATTGAACCCTTTTTTTTTGTACATGGTGGTGGAGGCCTAAAGCGAAAAGGTTTTATAAAACCCAGCTGAAGGCCTAGGACTGGTGTGACAGTGCACGTGCCCACAGAGAGGGCTCTGAGTGCCACCTCTGGCACCCATGCCATAGGTTCGCCACCACTGTGCTAGACCAATCTGGATCTTTATCTATGCTATTTAGTGGCTTATCCTATTAAAATTATTTGGGGGGAAAAAGGAAGATTAAGTGTCAACATATATTTTATTTATTCATTTTACTTATTCAATTTATATAACCACCCATCTCAAATCAGTGACTCTTAGCAGCAAACAATTATATTAAATGTTTTCCTTGCATAGTTTAATTTATTATTATTTATTTATTTATTTATTTATTATTTCAATTTATATCCCGCCCTTCTCCCGAAGGACTCAGGGCGGCTCACAACATTATTAAAACAAAGAAAGACCCACACACCCCACCGAATAAAACCAAATTAAAACCAAAATTTTTGTGTTGTGATAATTAAAATTTCTAAAAAACCCAGTTTAAAAATCCTCCCTAGGCCA